CGAGCTGCTCTGCTGTCCCCCGCTGCTCAGCTGGTTCGCCGCCGCTCTTGACTCCATCTGAAGATGCAGCACACCGATACATGATGATATTAGCTGGCATGATGTGACTTTCAAAGACCAATCCTTACTGATGATAAATCCAACTCCTCCAACATTTCTAGCGCCATCTCCCTTTCCGAGCCTCACAGCGCTTCCATCCTTGCAGTTGACTTCCAACTCCTTCTTTCATCGGGTTTTGCAGACACCGAGGATGTCGCATCTTATCCTTTTCTTCTCCATCAGATGGTTTAACATTTCCTCCCTTGCCAGCGACGTACAATTGTAAGTACACACAGCGAGGGTGTTGTGTCGGCCTAGCACCTGACATTTTTAGCAACCTCTCGACGCTTGATTTCCGCTCCACTACTGAAGAACAGTTCATTGACACGCAGGAACCTGAGGCCCATTTACTCATGTTGTTTTAGCCGTTGACTTCAAGCCATCCCACTGGCTGGGCGGGCAGGCATGCGTACCTCCTCAAGCTTAGCTAGCCTTCAACCTGTAAGGAGAAGGAAAACCGCTCTTTCCTCTGAGAGAGCAATCCTGTTCCCTGGATTGGGTAGTCCGACACCTTTGTAGCATGGTTAGACCTGCCAGGGCATACACCCTGTTACCATAGCCGTCAGACGGCCAGGGTCACCGCTGCACCACGATGAGGCTCTGGGTAGGATTTTGCAGTGTTTTTTTTTCCTGATATTAATCTTAAACCCTGACCTTTTTTCCGCTTGCTTTTATTATCATTACTTTACTGTTTTTCTTCAAGCTGAGAGGACTAATAGCTTTCTTTTCAATCCATGACTATTGGCTAGCCAGCTGGAGCTCAACTTCCTAGTTCATAGGGACTGTAAGGTATGACCTCAGTACTTCTTAATGCCGTCCACAGCCTCGCTCGCTAAGGGAGTCGGGCACCTGAGTCTTGTTCTGAATTTGTCGCATTGCTGGAACCCAAAGCACCACCCTCAGACTCCATACTGGTGAAATTTCCCCAGTGTTGTAGTAATTGTGCTAGCTGTCTTGTAAAGGAAGATGTGAAATGAATAGCTATTAAATGATTTGGGGGTTCAATCCTAAAACATGAAAAGCACTTCAGTGGGAGCCATGAGTGCTCAGATCCTCTCAGGATTATGTCCTTAATCGGGATTTCATGAAATAAATCCATTTCTTCTCCATTACTAAAGTCTCATTACCTGAACAAGTCTGTGCACTGTGATTCTGTGGCAAAGCAGATCATTCCCTCTGCCTCCCCCTCAAACTGCCCATAAGCGGTTGTCTACACAGTTATTCCCAAATAGTTATTCCACTTTACATTTACAACCTACCTTATTCTGGAATAACTTTCATGTGTAGACAAGCCCTCAAAGTTTACAGTCCCCCTGTTCATAACACACTGCATGAAAGATACTCAGTTTTGACCCACCTGATGTTCTTGTTCTAGCAGGTCAAGGATTTTGATGAAGCGGGACCCTACCAAGGCACCACAGTCTAGCTCACAGTATAGTTTCAACAGGAAACCTTTGTTGAGAGGTTCAACATTAGGACTCATAGAATGAAACTAATTTAAACTGAGAGGAGTGGAATGAAATGAAAGAAAGGGAAAGTTTAAAAGCAGAATATCAGGAAAGTTTTCCTGACCAGTGAGATGATGTGCAGCTATTTAGCTGAGGATTAGTTTCTCAGAGGAAGTGATGAACAGTGTGGTGGGATATTTACATTTCAAGCACCACTAAATACCCTGTAGGGAAAAATCCTCCATTGGCAGGGAAAAATAACCAAATGCTAACTCAGCTCCTTGGTGGTGGTGATGATGCATGGTGATTTGCCAGTGGCAAAATTCACTCTAGGATGCCTCTGAGTCAGGGTAGCATAAGGCATGAATCAGTACAGGGCTAATGACTGCTGGACTAGTAGTGGATTGGAGCAGGTGACCACAGGAGAGAGGGTTTTCTTCAAAAGTAGAGATTTGGCAATGACCTAGGGAAAAGAAGGAAAGGTTGGGGGAATAGTGGGTTCGTGCAGATATTTTCAATGGGAAGGCTGGGAATCTAGTCTAAATGGATGGGAAGCACTTCTGAGGAGAAGGGAGGAGAAAGGATATTGTTTGTTGTGATGAGGGTGGTCTTTCTATGTTGGACACCAGGAGAAATCTTTCTGATCCTTAAAGAACCTAGAATTCATTGGATTATTTAAATCCAAGTATAGTAAACACACGGAACAAGTTGTCAACTAAGCTTAGTGGCGTGTAGAATGGAAACTAAGGCTATCCGAATAAATACTGAATATGACCTAGCAAGACATCCTCATAGAAAGAGAAGGGGATTGAAAGATACAGTGACAGTACTTTCTCTTGTTTAATTACTTATTTAAGCAACTACAGGATATTGGCTATAATGTAATTGGGCAGAAATTGTTTGCTTCATTTCAAGTCAATTCTGTTGCACAAAGAAAAGGAGTACTTGTGGCACCTTAGAGACTAACCAATTTATTTGAGCATAAGTTTTCGTGAGCTACAACTCACTTCATCGGAGGCATACTGTGGAAAATACAGAAGATGTTTTTATACACACAGACCATGAAAAACATCTTCTGTATTTTCCACAGTATGCATCCGATGAAGTGAGCTGTAGCTCACGAAAGCTTATGCTCAAATAAATTGGTTAATCTCTAAGGTGCCACAAGTCCTCCTTTTCTTTTTGCGAATACAGACTAACATGGCTGCTACTCTGAAACCTGTTGCACAGTATCTCTTCTCAATCACCACTAATGGGCAATACCTCCCATCTGCGGAATTTGGAGGAGCTCCAAAGTTGTTGCTGGAGGCTCCAAGATTAAGCCCCACTCTTCAGTTCAGGCCACCAGATTTTCTGCCTCCAGCGGTGAAAGAAGGCAGTAGCTCAGTTTCTCCCAGCCATTTTGTTATATAACGTTAATTTTGATTCCTTTTCACACAGCAGTGACTTGTAATTTTTCCTCCTCATCCTCCCCGCCCCTGGAGTGGGTATATGACAGCTTGTTGGTTTCAACCACCTGGACCTAGCACTGCAGTGGCTCCTCTCTGAGACTCTTCTGTACCCCTGAGGCCTGGCAGAGATGGCCTGCAAACGCTGGGCAAAAGAGTGAACATGTGATAGATATCAGTCACGTTGCTTATGTCCTACTGGAAGGTGCTAAAGTAGTTCAGTGATGAGCAAATTATGGAAACCTAATAGAATAGAAAAGCCAAGACTGAGGTCATTAAAGTTAACATGGCACTTTTTGGAGGAAAAATTGTGTTAACCACAGTGTTATAGCCAAATTCCAGCTCAGGTAATTGCCCTGTGTTCACCTAAATCCGCCCTGAGATTTCATATGGATATGGTACTCTGCTTCCATGTCACCTCAGAGGTGGAGGCCTATCAGTGGAAGATGAAATTCTCATAGGATAATCTATATATTAGTTTAAGTTTTTGTAAAATGCTTTTGGGGGAAAATATGTATGGTACATTTTAAAAACTTAGTTTTACCTGCAAATGTAACTCCTGCTCTATTTATATGATTCTGACACTCGTACTAACAATACTGTGAAAGATCATTTCTGTCCATAAAAAACTGTTGACTGTATTAATTTTGCACAGTTGAGCAGTCTGCTCTCGTGTTTACACATTGTGATACAGTGGATTAGATCTTCAGCTTGCGTAAACTGGTTTAGGTCTGTTAGTCAGTGGAATTATGCTGATTTATATCTGCTGAAAATCTGAACCACAGCCTTTAAATACAAGGTCATTTACTATTTCTCAAATAATACAGTATAATATCATACACATTTTTCTGAGCCGATAGATACGTAGAATAATAAGCAGTAGAAACTATTTATGCCAAAACCCACGACAGTTATTTATATGCAGGATGTACAGTGGATGAAGCAGAATTTAAATGAGATTACTCTGGATTTATACTAGCATAATTTAGATCAGAATTTGACCTTGTGTGTGGGAAGAGAGGAGCAGCTTTATTTTATATTTTATACATTCTCTTTTGGTTTCTTTCCCTATTACAGCACCTTCTGTTGGTTAGCTGTGCCATGTCACATTTACGTGCCCCGTTTGTAGCTTACACCACAATTTATATCTCTTCTGAATTTGAACCCATCTCAACTAATCACACGCTTCCTTTTAGTGACCTATCACCATAGGCCTCTAACTGAAGGACTTTTCCATTCCATCTCCAATAGAATATAGATGGAAGGTGCCTACGTTTCTAGCAATAGGTACATACAAAATATAAATGACATTGAAAATTATAGCGTTTAAGGTCAGAAGGAACCACCAAATCGTTTAGTTATGACCAACAGTTATCAATAGAATTTTGCTGAGGAAATGTTGCTTGACATAGTCTATGACAGAATGAGGAGATTTTACCTCTTCTAGGTCAGTAGTTTTCAACCTTTCCAGACTATTGTACCCCTTTCAGGAGTCTGATTTGTCTTGCATACCACAATTTTTACCTCATTTAAAAACGACTTGCTTACAAAATCAGACACAACAATACACAAGTGTCACAGCACACTATTACAGAAAAACTGCTTAATTTCTGATTTTATCATATAATTAGAAAATAAATTTATATTGGAATATAAATATTACACATACATTTCAGTGCATCGTATGTAAAGCAGTATAAACAAGTCATTGTCTGTATGAAATGTTAGTTTGTACTGACATCACTAGTGCTTTTTATGTAGCTTGTTGTAAAACAAGACAAATATCTAGATACCCCTGGAAGTCCTCTGCATACCCCCAGGGGTACATGTACCCCTGGTTGAGATCCACTGTTCTAGGTCAACTTTAGACCAACAAAGCTGATTAAATGGTTTTCAGCACACACAGCTGACTAGATTTTTATTTAAGCATTCACCAGTCTGCATTTTTTTTTTTTGCTCTGATAATTTTCTGACCCTCTGTATTTGTTTTTTCTTTATTATTCAGTGGTGCTTCAATGCAGAGTGCATTAGAGTGGGAAAGAATCCAGAAATGATAAATGGTGGATGGGGCACATGGTCCTCCTGGTCTCATTGCACACGGACATGTGGGGCAGGAGTTCAGAGCGCAGAAAGACACTGCAATAACCCAGAGTAAGTTGTGTGCATAGTTCATCACCAATCCTTTCAATGCGTTTTTTTATGTAATGCAAGGTGTTGGAAATGTCTGGGTATTTGTGAGGATAGGGACACTATTGTTTCTCACCATATTATCAACAGCTACTGCAGCAAGGCAACCATTAAACCCACTGCTCCCCATAGAAACACCCCTGTCTAGAATCCACCCACCTTGCCTTTTACAATTTTCATGTTGCTTCTCAGTCTTTCTTACCTTCCATGGAAATTACTTCCACCAGAGAGAGACGAAATCTTCACCTGCAGGATTAGTACAACATCAGAAACATTGTTTTAATGATACTACTTTGGATAATTTGCAATATTCTCAATAACTATGTGGGGGTAAAAATTAGTGGCCTATTCCTGGGAGCTGCTGAGTACTTGCAAATCACATTTGATCCTAAACCATTTGAAGTCTCAGAGATTCTGGTGATGGATTCTTAGAATCCAGATAAATGGGTATGTAAAGGGAAATTTAAAAAAAAAATGCCTAAGTCCCATTTTCAAAAAGAACGGAAACACTCAGGGCCCAGATCCTCAAAGGTAGTTAGGCGCCTAACTCCAAGGAGTGATCAGCTCCTGACATGGTTGAGCTCATGATGAACTATCTATATGTTACTGTCTTAAACAAATAATACTATGTGTCACATTTTCCAAAATGCCTAAGGTCTGGCCTACACTGCAGACATATATTGGTATAACTGTCATGCAGGGGTGTGAAAAATCCACCCCTCTGAGTGATATAGTTATACTGACCAAACCCCACTTGTAGACAGCGCTACATCAGTGGGAAAACTACTGCCTCCCGGAAGGTGGATTATACCAATGGGAGAACTCTCCCCCATCTGAGTGTCTTTATTGTCCTGCTACAGCTGCACCAATGCAGCTGTGCTGATGCAGCATTTTAAGTGTAGGCTTGCCCTAAGTGACTGAGAAGTCGAGTCCCCATTGACTTCAGTGTTCGGCACCTTGGTATGAATGCACTATTTAAAATAAAACACACTTAACTTTTGTACAGACTCTAAAGCCACAAAACGTCACACTTTACTTCTAGGCCACAGTTTGGCGGAAAGTATTGCACTGGAGAAAGGAAACGCTACCGCATGTGTAACATTGTCCCATGTCGACAAGACACACCAACCTTTCGTCAGATGCAATGCAGTGAATTTGACACCGTTCCCTACAAGAATGAATTCTACCAGTGGATTCCAGTTTATAACACAGGTAAGAAGTAACACAGTCAAATTCAGAGCACTTACAGATAAATAATGTGTGAAAGGGAAGTAAATGAATGTGAGTCTTTGACTTGCCTAAGAAAAATACCACTTTGAAGGCCACATGTGTTCTGGTTGAAGTTTCAGGTCCTATAAATAAGGCCCTTCATTTCTGTTTTTTGTTTGCTTACTTTCCCAGGAATTAATCAGTGTTTATCTCAAAAATTTAAAAACGGGTGGAAACCAGTGCCAAAAATTAGCTTTACTGTTTTCTGGATAAATATCAGCATTAATATTGGGGGCTGGGAGGACAGGAAAAAAGCAACAAATAAAGACAATTAATGGTTTCATAAGCAATAAACTCCTATCGCTAATCTCCATTCCAAAAATTAAACTTCTTTCTAAAAACAGTTTACAACTGGTGACTTGTGCAGTTACACTTAATATAGCTCACTTAACCGTTTCCCTGCCATTGTGGGGCCTTGAGCACGGGTGCACCTCTGTCCTTTCTATCCACTGCCAGTTGAATGCAACTGTCCAGTCTCCTGGAGCTGTAATACTTTGGTCTAGTTGTGGTTGTTGGGTTGACTGTGCTGGGTGCAGATGTTGGTGGCCTGTGATATACAGGAGATCAGACTAGTTGAACTGGGGTGATCCCTTCTGGCTTTGAACCCTACAACTCTGTAAGGGGCTTCAGTATGAATTGCGAAAGTCCTGGGTGGCGTAGGCTCTGTGGTTTTTTTCAAAGTATCTTTTTCATGGCTGGGACAGGATGCCCAGAACCCAGTTATGAAGGGGAGGAGGGAGCACCCAGTACTCTCAAGAAGAGCAAGCAAGGAGGTGCCCAGCACTCAGGGAGGGAAGGGCATGGGGAGAAGAAGGGGTGCCTGGCACACACAGTGGGAGTGGGTCAGGAGGGGCCAGTACTCCCAGATTCAACCTCCATTCCCAGTGTCCTGTCATTGCATCAGTCCATGGTCTTGGCAGGCTCCCTGCCCATCTCATTCCACCACTCCACAGCTGCAGCAGCCATCAAGTGCAGTTACCCCGTCCTGCACATTGCCGACTGGCAGGGAGTCTGCAAGTGGGGAACTGGGTCTGGGGAATTCGAACAGGCAAAAAAATCTGAAAGCAGTTAGTGATCAGGAGCCATCTCTACTGTTAGCGCTGGACTTCAAAAGCCTATCCAGCAAGAATTACCAACATTACTTGTTCCTTCACCTAAGAACAATAAACTGTTTAGAGAAGTTACGTTCAAAGGTTGACACTTTGCTTTAACTTTAGATATACTTCCTGTCAGTAGCATTTGTCATCAAATTTACTGTGTGTTTAATGCTTGACAGCTATGAATAAACTTCTTAAATATCACCTAGTGTCATGCTCATTGAATAAATATACTGCTGAAGATAAGATTGGAACAAGCAGTAGTCCAGAAAAGCATTATCAAAGTGGTTTCCTTAGCTTGAACGAAGAAAATAAGGGTGATTAGGTATCTTATGAAAGAGTTTGTCAATAAAAACAAACTACAATAAACACAAAGCACTTGGGGCCTGACACAAAAACTACATACATTCACAGGTCACATTATGCAATTTCTTATGTAAGAAAACTGAAATTCTGTTCCATTTTGTTATGCACAATGTGTACATTCAATAGAATCTGGATATATCACCCACTTGGTGAAAATGGACACACAGGGCCAATGCTTGTGGAATTTTGGGAGAGAATTATTTTTTACTGTTCCAGTGTACATGCATGAAGTATGTTCTTGTTTAAAAAAACTCTTAATTCATCTGAATCTAATTCAGTTTTTCATGGAACAATTAAAGGCACATCTTTTGACTACATCCCTCCAAATCCCAAGTTTCTATCACCTTCCGCTGAGGTGTTTTTTAAAAAGTCACCAAAATTTTCTCTTATCAGAGAAACTGTCTTTTATTTCACTCCTTCTTTACTTGAAAATGATTCAATCATTTCTGATGGAAGTGTCTGGAATAAAGGTGCTCCAACACTGAGAGCAAGCATACTCACATGCAGCTGTGATGCTATCTAAAGGGGAAGGTGACTGCCTACAATAATATGGTCACCTCTTTCACAAAATTGTGATAAAACTTGTCCAAAGTATGCCTCGCTATAATCTGCTGAGTATTATTATCTTGTTATAATATGTGTATCGACACTCCGTATGGAGCCCTGAAATTGTGGTATATGTATATAACTCCAACATGCAGTGAGGCTGAGAAACGCCCATAGGTGAGCTCTTCAGGAATAACAATGGAACTGTAAATGAGCCGCTGCATGCCATTCCCGAAGACACCGCAAACGGCACGTACACAGAAGTTGCAAGCAAAAATTTGCAGTCCATCTGAAGAACTGATGGGAAAGCACATATGCCAGGGAATTGCTTGACCCCATGACACAGCAAGGATTTTCCAGCCAAAAAGGGTCAAGATCTAAAAAGGGAGAACAAAGGCCCCTGGCCACCTCTTTCATATTCCGTCTTTGGACTGGTGAATTCTGACAGGGTAAATTTTGAACCAAGGACTGAGGTCCTCAAAACTATTTGGGCAACCCAGAGAGACTTACAGAAAACTAGCGCATTTAACATCCCTGCTATCATTTTGAATGTACAAACTCAAATTCACCTTTAACATATTTTACCTGCTTTAACCTCTAATTCTCATTTCTTTTTCTTAGCTAATAAATCTTTAGTTAGTTTACCAAAAAAATTTGGCTGACTGCATTGTCTTTGGTTTGAGATCCAGAGCATTCATTGACCTGGGGGTAAGTGACTGATCCCTTGCAGCTAGAAGTACCTAATATGTGATGATTTTTTTTATTTTAATAATCTTTCATCACAGAAATCCAATTTGTCTTGGTGGTAGCATAGGCTAGAGTGTCTAAGGGGACTGTCTGTGGCTCCATGATAAGCTAGAATAGCGATCCAGGAGCACACATTTGTGGCTTGTTTGGTTAAATCTAATTACAGAATATACCACCAGTTGGGAGTGTCTGCCCTGTTTTCTGACAGTCTGTCCTGAGATTGGCCTCTAAGTTGTGAGCCATGTATCAGGCACCATGACAATTTGGTGTACTTGGCAGGATTCACATGCCACAGGTCAATCGGGCTTTAAGATCAGAACCCAATACTATTTGATGTTAAAATTTGATATTGAGAGTTTTAAGGTTTAAAGATTAGTTACAATGGATGATTTACAATCATATGAGAGTCTTCACACAAAAGAGCTTAAAAATCATCTAAAGAAAGGGGGATAACCATTAAGAAGGATACCCCAGATCAGGAACTGAGAACTATGCTCATGGACTATGACCAAAAAGCAGTGCCTGAGCAACCCCATGCCCCAGATGCAGAAGTGATCCATATGTAGATGCTGGCAACCAAGCAACAACATGAGCATGAAATTAAAATGATGGAACTCTGAATGAGGAAGAAGCAAGCAAGCAATGATATGGAAAGAAGGATGCCCACCAAAGGTGCCCAGATGGCTGAGATGGAGAAGGAAGCTGAGGAGACAGCCAAGGAAGCCCAACTGAAGTGCATGGAGCAGCTGGAAGCTAAGAAAGAAGCACATCAGAGAGAGGCGGAAGCTCTCACACTGCAGCTCTACATCCTGGACAAGCAAAAAGAATAGCCACCTCAGCCTTGGGATACATCCTCCTCTCAACAGCAGGGAATGGGAAAAAGCCTGCCCAATTTATCGTGAATCTGATTGCATAGAGGAATTCCTATCCACCTTTAAGAGACTGTGTGAAATCCACAAGATTCCAGAGGAGAATTGGATGCCAATCTTTTTAACCAGATTGACTGGAAAAGCCAGACAAGTATTTAATTAAATGAAGAGGGAAGATGCTATGGTGTATAAGAGCTTTAAAGAAGCTGTATTAAAAAGGCTTAAAATCACCCCTGAGTCTTATTGTTTAAAATTGAGACATCTTAAAAAGTCTGACAATATAACTCATGTGGAATATGTGCATAAACTGCTTAGTTATGTAAAAAAAATAGGGGTGGGTGGTGATGGCAGCTTTGATAAGCTGTTACATTTAGTGATGCAAGAGCAGTTATTATGGGTGGTCACCAGTGATGTCAAAGCAGCCGTTTGTGACAAAAAACCTTCCACGGTTTTGATGGCAGCAGAAATTGCTGATGAGTATGTTGTGTCAAGGGCTCGAGAGCGGTGAAATCTCCAGTTTACAAGGGAGGAAGAATTTAAGAATAAACCTAACCCCAACTGTGTTAAAAAACCTCAAGGGAGCCCAGATTTTAAAGCCTCTTACCCTAAGGGGAAGCCAGTTGTTTGCCATGAAGGTGGGATCCCTGGCCATATAAAGTCAAATTGCTCAAAGGTCACAACCTGCACCCGCAACCCCTCTTGTGGGTTCCAATGCTACCAGTATAAGTGCTAATGCTACCACATTAGCCACAGAGGAAATTGTGGGAGAGGAAAATGGCCTCCTGAATGATATTAGAACTGAGTCGTGGGATGATAGTGAACAATTCATTAAGCGTGTAAAAGTAAATGGGGTTGAATGTACTGGGTGGCGTGATAACTGCATCTCATATTACTTTGGTTAAAGAAAGTTTTGTGAGAAAAGATAAATTGCCTGGCTGAAGTATAAATCTTCAAGCTTTGGCTGAGTTTTCAATGACTGTGCCTCTGGCTAAAATCCACCTGAGTGGAAAAAATTTAAGGATGATATTGTAGCTGGTATTAGGAATTTGCTACCTGCTGATATGTTGATAGGTAATGACATTGTAACTGTTATGACAACCTGATTGGACACTAGCATGGATCTGATTCCTCTACTTTGCCTGCTGTCAATGAGGTGAGCTGGAGGTGAGGGGGAATTTCCCCCCCGAGCTATTGTTTGTTGAGAATAGCAGCTTGCCAGCTGAGGAAGGAGCTGAGGATTCTTTTGTACCGGAGACTGTTCCGGGTTTAAGTGAAACACCGAAAGAATTTATATCTGCTCAGTCAAGTGATATTACTT